CATAGACCCCAATGTTAAAGTCTCCCATTGACTCCAATGTTAAAGTCTACCTTAAACTCCAATGTTAAAGTCTCCCATAGACTCAAATGTTAAAGTCTCTACCCATAGACTCAAATGTTAAAGTCTCTACCCATAGACTCCAATGTTAACGTCTATACCCATAGACTCCAATGTTAAAGTCTCTACCCATAGACTCCAATGTTAAAGTCTCTACCCATAGGCTCCAATGTTAAAGTCTCTACCCATAGACTCCAATGTTAAAGTCTCTACCCATAGACTCCAATGTTAAAGTCTACCTTAGACTCCAATGTTAAAGTCTCTACCCATAGACTCCAATGTTAAAGTCTCTACTCAAAGACTCCAATGTTAAAGTCTCTACCCATAGACTCCAATGTTAAAGTCTCCCTTAGACTCCAATGTTAAAGTCTCTACCCATATACTCCAATGTTAAAGTCTCTACCCATAGACTCCAATGTTAAAGTCTCTACCCATATACTCCAATGTTAAAGTCTCTACCCATAGACTCCAATGTTAAAGTCTCTACCCATAGACTCCAATGTTAAAGTCTCCCCTAGACTCCAATGTTAAAGTCTCTACCCATAGACTCCAATGTTAAAGTCTCTACCCATTGACTCCAATGTTAAAGTCTCCCATAGACTCCAATGTTAAAGTCTCTACCCATATACTCCAATGTTAAAGTCTCTACCCATAGACTCCAATATTAAAGTCTCTACCCATAGACTCCAATGTTAAAGTCTCTACCCATAGACTCCAATGTTAAAGTCTCTACCCATAGACTCCAATGTTAAAGTCTCTACCCATAGACTCCAATGTTAAAGTCTCTACCCATAGACTCCAATATTAAAGTCTCTACCCATAGACTCCAATGTTAAAGTCTCTACCCATAGACTCCAATGTTAAAGTCTCTACCCATATACTCCAATGTTAAAGTCTCTACCCATAGACTCAATGTTAAAGTCTCCCATAGACTCCAATGTTAAAGTCTCCCATAGACTCCGATGTTAAAGTCTCCCATAGACTCCAATGTTAAAGTCTCCCATAGACTCCAATGTTAAAGTCTCTACCCATAGACTCCAATGTTAAAGTCTCTACCCATAGACTCCAATGTTAAAGTCTCTACCCATAGACTCGATGTTAAAGTCTCCCATAGACTCCAATGTTAAAGTCTCCCATAGACTCCAATGTTAAAGTCTCCCATAGACTCCAATGTTAAAATTCTCACGACGTTTCGGCTGCAACACAAGCAACCATAATCAGGTGTAAAAACCACAGCAATAATTTTTGTTTTTTTTATTTTTCTTGCTGTGGTTTTCACACCTGATAATGATTGCTTATGGTGTTGCAGTCGAAACGTCGTGAGAATTTTTATTGTTTTATATTTTTATTATTTTATTGTTTACCCTTCTAACGTGGTGACTTTACCCAAAGAACCAAGAATAATAATTGTTATTGTTTTATATTTGTATTATTTTATTGTTTCCCTATCTACGTGGTGGTGACTTTACCCAAAGAACCAAGAATAATAATTTTATTGTTTTATATTTTTATTATTTTATTGTTTCCCTTCTAACGTGGTGGTGACTTTACCGAAAGAACCAAGAATAATAATTTTATTGTTTTATATTTTTATTATTTTATTGTTTCCCTATCTAACGTGGTGACTTTACCCAAAGAACCAAGAATAATAATTGTATTGTTTTATATTTTTATTATTTTATTGTTTACCCTTCTAACGTGGTGACTTTACCCAAAGAACCAAGAATAATAATTGATATTGTTTTATATTTTTATTATTTTATTGTTTCCCTATCTACGTAGTGGTGACTTTACCCAAAGAACCAAGAATAATAATTTTATTGTTTTATACTTTTATTATTTTATTGTTCCCTTCTAACGTGGTGGTGACTTTACCGAAAGAACCAAGAATAATAATTGTTATTGTTTTATATTTTTATTATTTTATTGTTTCCCTTCTAACGTGGTGGTGACTTTACCCAAAGAACCAAGAATAACAATTTTGTTTTATAATTTTTATTATTTTATTGTTTCCCTATCTAACGTGGTGACTTTACCCAAAGAACCAAGAATAATAATTGTATTGTTTTATATTTTTATTATTTTATTGTTTCCCTTCTAACGTGGTGGTGACTTTACCCAAAGAACCAAGAATAATAATTTTATTGTTTTATATTGTTATTATTTTATTGTTTCCCTATCTAACGTGGTGGTGACTTTACCCAAAGAACCAAGAATAATAATTTTATTGTTTTATATTTTTATTATTTTATTGTTTCCCTTCTAACGTGGTGGTGACTTTACCCAAAGAACCAAGAATAATAATTTTATTGTTTTATATTGTTATTATTTTATTGTTTCCCTATCTAACGTGGTGGTGACTTTACCCAAAGAACCAAGAATAATAATTTTATTGTTTTATATTTTTATTATTTTATTGTTTCCCTATCTAACGTGGTGGTGACTTTACCCAAAGAACCAAGAATAATAATTTTATTGTTTTATATTTTTATTATTTTATTGTTTCCCTTCTGCGTGGTGACTTTACCCAAAGAACCAAGAATAATAATTTTATTGTTTTATATATTTGTATTATTTTATTGTTTCCCTTCTAACGTGGTGGTAACCTTACCGAAAGAACCAAGAATAATAATTTTATTGTTTTATATTTTTATTATTTTATTGTTTCCCTTCTAACGTGGTGGTAACTTTACCGAAAAAACCAAGAATAATAATTTTATTGTTTTATATTTTTATTATTTTATTATTTCCCTATCTAACGTGGTGGTGACTTTACCGAAAGAACCAAGAATAATAATTTTATTGTTTTATAATTTTATTATTTTATTGTTTCCCTTCTAACGTGGAGGTGACTTTACCGAAAGAACCAAAAATAATAATTTTATTGTTTTATATTTTTATTATTTTATTGTTTCCCTTCTACGTGGCGGTGACTTTACCCAAAGAACCAAGAATAATAATTTTATTGTTTCATATTTTTATTATTTCCCTATCTAACGTGGTGACTTTACCCAAAGAACCAAGAATAATAATTTTATTGTTTTATATTTTTATTATTTCCCTATCTAACGTGGTGACTTTACCGAAAGAACCAAGAATAATAATTTTATTGTTTTATATTTTTATTATTTCATTGTTTCCCTTCTGCGTGGTGACTTTACTCAAAGAACCAAGAATAATAATTTTATTGTTTTATAATTTTATTATTTTATTGTTTCCCTATCTAACGTGGTGACTTTACCCAAAGAACCAAGAATAATAATTTTATTGTTTTATATTTTTATTATTTCCCTATCTAACGCGGTGACTTCACCCAAAGAACCAAGAATAATAATTGTATTGTGTTTATAATTGTATTATTTTATTGTTTCCCTATCTAACGTGGTGACTTTACCCAAAGAACCAAGAATAATAATTGTTATTGTTGTATATTTTTATTATTTTATTGTTTCCCTTCTAACGTGGTGGTGACTTTACCCAAAGAACCAAGAATAATTTTATTGTTTTATAATTTTATTATTTTATTGTTTCCCTATCTAACGTGGTGACTTTACCAAAAGAACCAAGAATAATAATTTCATTGTTTTATATTTTTATTATTTTATTGTTACCCTTCTAACGTGGTGGTGACTTTAACCAAGATTAATAATTTTATTGTTTTATATTTTTATTATTTTATTATTTCCCTATCTAACGTGGTGACCCCACTCACCCCACTCCCACCTCACCGGAAGTTGACCGCACTGCCTTGTGGGTGCCCGTGTGACGTCGGGAGGCGGGTCCAGGCGGACCACCAAGATGGCGGCGACCAGGCGACTCTTTAAGGTGAGGACGAGGAGGCTCTGGTGAGGAGGTCGTGGTGAGGAGGTTGGTGAGGAGGTGGTGGTGAGGCGGTTGGTGAGGAGGTGGCGAGGCGCGCATTACTCCGCCTGTCTGTGTACGCTGGCGGCGGCGCGACAGCTCCAAAGTGAAGGGGGCAGGGGGCCCAGGCCTAGGCCTGGGCCTAGGCAAGCCGAAGGCTTCAGTGGCCGCGCCCAGAGCTTTTGAAATGTTTTGACTAGGCCGCACTTGACACAGAGACCCGTAGACTACTCACCATAGAGACCCATAGACTACTCACCATAGAGACCCATAGACTACTCACCACAGAGACCCATAGACTACTCACCATAGAGACCCGTAGACTACTCACCATAGAGACCCGTAGACTACTCACCATAGAGACCCTTAGACTACTCACCACAGAGACTCGTAGACTACTCACCACAGAGACCCTTAGACTACTCACCACAGAGACCCGTAGACTACTCACCACAGAGACCCGTAGACTACTCACCATAGAGACCCGTAGACTACTCACCATAGAGACCCATAGACTACTCACCATAGAGACCCGTAGACTACTCACCATAGAGACCCATAGACTACTCACCATAGAGACCCGTAGACTACTCACCATAGAGACCCATAGACTACTCACCACAGAGACCCATAGACTACTTACCATAGAGACCCGTAGACTACTCACCACAGAGACCCATAGACTACTCACCATAGAGACCCGTAGACTATTCACCACAGAGATCCATAGACTACTCACCATAGAGACCCGTAGACTACTCACCACAGAGACCCATAGACTACTCACCATAGAGACCCATAGACTACTCACCACAGAGACCCATAGACTACTCACACAGAGACCCATAGACTCACTCAGAGAGACCCATAGACTCATCACCACACAGAGACCCATAGACTCACCACCATAGAGACCTGTAGACTACTCACCACAGAGACCCATAGACTACTCACCATAGAGACCCTTAGACTACTCACCATAGAGACCCATAGACTACTCACCATAGAGACCCGTAGACTACTCACCATAGAGACCCATAGACTACTCACCACAGAGACCCATAGACTACTCACCATAGAGACTACTCACCATAGAGACCCATAGACTACTCACCATAGAGACTACTCACCACAGAGACCCATAGACTACTCACCATAGAGACCCATAGACTACTCACCATAGAGACCCATAGACTACTCACCATAGAGACCCGTAGACTACTCACCATAGAGACCCATAGACTACTCACCATAGAGACCCATAGACTACTCACCATAGAGACCCATAGACTACTCGCCATAGAGACCCTTAGACTACTCACCACAGAGACCCTTAGACTACTCACCACAGAGACCCATAGACTACTCACCACAGAGACCCATAGACTACTCACCACAGAGACCCATAGACTACTCACCACAGAGACCCATAGACTACTCACCACAGAGACCCATAGACTACTCACCATAGAGACCCATAGACTACTCACCATAGAGACCCATAGACTACTCACCATAGAGACCCATAGACTACTCACCATAGAGACCCATAGACTACTCACCATAGAGACCCATAGACTACTCACCATAGAGACCCTTAGACTACTCACCACAGAGACCCGTAGACTACTCACCATAGAGACCCATAGACTACTCACCACAGAGACCCATAGACTACTCACCATAGAGACCCTTAGACTACTCACCATAGAGAGCCTTAGACTACTCACCATAGAGACCCATAGACTACTCACCACAGAGACCCATAGACTACTCACCACAGAGACCCATAGACTACTCCCCACAGAGACCCATAGACTACTCACCATAGAGACCCGTAGACTAGTCACCACAGAGACCCATAGACTACTCACCATAGAGACCCGTAGACTACTCACCACAGAGACCCATAGACTACTCACCACAGAGACCCATAGACTACTCACCACAGAGACCCATAGACTACTCACCATAGAGACCCGTAGACTACTCACCACAGAGACCCGTAGACTACTCACCACAGAGACCTGTAGACTACTCACCATAGAGACCTGTAGACTACTCACCACAGAGACCTGTAGACTACTCACCACAGAGACCTGTAGACTACTCACCATAGAGACCCGTAGACTACTCACCACAGAGACCCATAGACTACTCACCACAGAGACCCGTAGACTACTCACCACAGAGACCCGTAGACTACTCACCATAGAGACCCATAGACTACTCACCACAGAGACCCATAGACTACTCACCACAGAGACCCATAGACTACTCACCACAGAGACCCATAGACTACTCACACAGAGACCCATAGACTACTCACCACAGAGACCCATAGACTACTCACCACAGAGACCCATAGACTACTCACCACAGAGACCCATAGACTACTCACCACAGAGACCCATAGACTACTCACCACAGAGACCCATAGACTACTCACCATAGAGACCCGTAGACTACTCACCATAGAGACCCATAGACTACTCACCATAGAGACCCATAGACTACTCACCACAGAGACCCGTAGACTATTCACCATAGAGACCCTTAGACTACTCACCATAGAGACCCATAGACTACTCACCATAGAGACCCGTAGACTACTCACCATAGAGACCCATAGACTACTCACCACAGAGACCCGTAGACTACTCACCATAGAGACCCATAGACTACTCACCACAGAGACCCATAGACTACTCACCACAGAGACCCATAGACTACTCACCATAGAGACTACTCACCACAGAGACCCATAGACTACTCACCACAGAGACCCATAGACTACTCACCACAGAGACCCCTAGACTACTCACCATAGAGACCTGTAGACTACTCACCACAGAGACCCATAGACTACTCACCATAGAGACCCGTAGACTACTCACCATAGAGACCCATAGACTACTCACCATAGAGACCCGTAGACTACTCACCATAGAGACCCATAGACTACTCACACAGAGACCCATAGACTACTCACCATAGAGACCCTTAGACTACTCACCATAGAGACCTGTAGACTACTCACCACAGAGACCCGTAGACTACTCACCACAGAGACCCATAGACTACTCACCATAGAGACCCTTAGACTACTCACCATAGAGACCCGTAGACTACTCACCATAGAGACCCTTAGACTACTCACCACAGAGACCCATAGACTACTCACCACAGAGACCCATAGACTACTCACCATAGAGACCCTTAGACTACTCACCACAGAGACCCATAGACTCATCACCACACAGAGACCCATAGACTCATCACCACACAGAGACCCATAGGCCCACCACACAGACCCATAGACTCACCACCACACAGAGACCCATAGACTCATCACTCACATAGACCCGTAGACTTACCATAGAGACCCACAGACTCACCACCACACAGAGACCCATAGATTCATCACCACACAGAGACCCACAGACTCACCACACACAGAGACCCATAGATTCACCACCACACAGAGACTCATACTCATCACACAGACCCATAGACTCATCACCACACAGGGACCCATAGACTCACCACCACACAGAGACTCATACTCATCACACAGAGACCCATAGACTCATCACCACACAGAGACCCACAGACTCACCACCACACAGAGACTCATACTCATCACACACAGACCCATAGACTCATCACCACACAGAGACCCATAGACTCACCACCACACAGAGACTCATACTCATCACACACAGACCCATAGACTCACCACCACACACAGACCCACAGACTCACCACCACACACAGACCCATAGACTCACCACCACCACACAGAGACCCACAGACTCACCACCACCACACAGAGACCCACAGACTCACCACCACACAGAGACCCACAGACTCACCACCACCACACAGAGACCCATAGACTCACCACCACCACACAGAGACCCATAGACTCATCACCACACAGAGACCCACAGACTCACCACCACACAGAGACCCACAGACTCACCACCACACATAAACCCTGTGTACTATCCGTATGTCCAAGCTGCCGTGTGTTTCTGTGTGCTTGTGATCAGGAGCTCACAGACATCCGTCTGTCAAACTGCAAGAATTTCCAGAACATCATTGTGGATGAGACTAATCTCTTATTTTGGCAGGGTCTCATCGTCCCGGTGAGTGAGAAACTCACCACAAACTCACCAATAACTCACCACTATCACTACTACTTGCCAATGTCACTACTACTACTCACCACTATCACTACTCACCACTATCACTACTCACCACTACTCACAGCTATCACTTCTCACCACTACTCACCACTATCACCACTCACCACTACTCACCACTACTCACCACTCTCACTACTCACCACTATCACTACTGCTCACCACTATTCACCACTATCACTACTCACCACTACTCACCACTCACCACTATTACTACTATCACTACTCACCACTATCACTACTCACCACTACTCACCACTATCACTACTCACCACTATCAACAATTACCACCACTCACCACTACTCACCACTACTCACTACTACCACCACTCACCACTATCACCACTCACCACTATCACCACTCACCACTACTCACCACTATCACCACTATCACCACTCACCACTACTCACCACTACTCACCACTATTACCACTATCACCACTCACCACTATAATCACTCACCACTACTCACCACTACTCACCACTATCACTACTACTCACCACTACTCACCACTCTCACTACTCACCACTATCACTACTGCTCACCACTATTCACCACTATCACTACTCACCACTACTCACCACTACTCACCACTCACCACTATTACTACTCACCACTATCACTACTCACCACTACTCACCACTATAATCACTCACCACTACTCACCACTCTCACTACTCACCACTATCACTACTACTCACCACTACTCACCACTATCACTACTCACCACTACTCACCACTCAACACTACTACTCACCACTATTCACTATCACTACTCACCACTACTCACCACTATCACTACTCACCACTATCACTACTACTCACTACTACTCACCACTATTCACCACTATCACCACTCACCACTATTACTACTCACCACTACTCACCACTATAATCACTCACCACTACTCACCACTACTCACCACTCTCACTACTCACCACTATCACTACTCACCACTACAACCACTCACCACTACCACCACTCACCACTACTCACCACCACTCACCACTATCTCCACTACTCACCACTATCACTACTCACCACTATCAATACTCACCACTCACCACTATCACCACTCACCACTACTCACCACCACTCACCACAACCACCACTCACCACTATCACCACTCACCACCACTCACCACAACCACCACTCACCACTATCACCACTCACCACTACTCACCACTATCACTACTCACCACTAATCACCACTATCACCACTCACCACTATCACTACTCACCACTCACCACTATCACTACTCACCACTACTCACCACTACTCACCACTAGTCACCACTATTCACCACTCACCACTACTCACCACTATCACTACTCACCGCTATCACCACTCACCACTATCACTACTCACCGCTATCACCACTCACCACTATCACCACTCACCACTACCACTACTCACCACTACTCACCACTACTCACCACTCACCACTATCACTACTCACCACTACTCACCACTATCACCACTCACCACTATCACTACTCACCACTCACCACTACTCACCACTATCACCACTCACCACTACTCACCACTATCACCACTCACCACTACTCACCACTACTCATCACTACTCACCACCACTCACCACTATCACCACTCACCACTACTCATCACTACTCACCACCACTCACCACTATCACCACTCACCACTACTCACCACTACTCATCACTACTCACCACCACTCACCACTATCACCACTCACCACTACTCATCACTACTCACCACCACTCACCACTATCACCACTCACCACTATCACCACTATCACCACTCACCACTATCACCACTATTCACCACTATAATCACTCACCACTACTCACCACTACTCACCACTACTCACCACTCTCACTACTCACCACTATCACTACTACTCACCACTACTCACCACTATCACTACTCACCACTATCACCACTCACCACTATCACCACTCACCACTACTCACCACTATTCACCACTATCACCACTACTCACCACTCACCACTATCACCACTCACCACTATCACCACTCACCACTACTCACCACTCACCACTATCACCACTACCCACCACTCACCACTGTCACTACTCCCCACTATCACCACTCACCACTACTCACCACTACTCACCACTACTCACCACTCTCACTACTCACCACTATCACTACTACTCACCACTATCACTACTCACCACTATCACCACTCACCACTATCACCACTCACCACTATCACCACTCACCACTACTCACCACTATTCACCACTATCACCACTACCCACCACTCACCACTATCACCACTCACCACTCACCACTATCACCACTCACCACTACTCACCACTCACCACTATCACCACTATCACCACTCACCACTACTCACTACTCACCACTATCACCACTCACCACTACTCACCACTACTCACCACTACTCACCACTCACCACTACTCACCACTACCACTACTCACCACTACTCACCACTACTCACCACTATCACCACTCACCACTACTCGCAACTATCACTACTCACCACTATTACCACTATCACCACTCACCACTACTCACCACTCACCACTATCACTACTCACCACTACTCACCACTCACCACTCACCACTACTCACAACTATCACTACTCACCACTATCACCACTCACCACTACTCACCACTATCACCACTACTCACCACTATCACCACTCAACACTACTCACCACCACTCACCACTGTCACTACTCACCACTATCACCACTCACCACTACTCACCACTATCACTACTCACCACTACTCACCACTATCACCACTCACCACTACTCACCACTACTCACCACTATCACTACTCACCACTACCCACCACTCACCACTGTCACTACTCACCACTACTCACCACTCACCACTACTCACCACTACTCACCACAACTCACCACAACTCACCACCATCACTACTCACTGCTACACTACTCACCACTATCACTACTCACCACTACTCACCACTATTCACCACTCACCACTACTCACCACTATCACTACTCACTGCTACACTACTCACCACTACTCACCACTATTCACCACTCACCACAACTCACCACTACTCACCACTATCACTACTCACTGCTACACTACTCACCACTATCACTACTCACCACTACTCACCACTATTCACCACTCACCACAACTCACCACTACTCGCCACTATCACTACTCACTGCTACACTACTCACCACTATCACTACTCACCACTACTCACCACTATTCACCACTCACCACAACTCACCACTACTCGCCACTATCACTGCTCACTGCTACACTACTCACCACTACTCACCACTACTCACCACTACTCACCACTATTCACCACTATCACTACTCACCACTATTCACCACAACTCACCACTACTCGCCAAACTCTCATTCTACATTATGAGACCTCCTTTGCCAGTAACAAGATATAGGAATAGGTTTTACCCTTTTAAGAGGCACAAAAACTGACACCTTTATTCAAGGCATCATGTTTGCAATAACCACAGCACAAGCAGTCAAAATGCAAACAAAAAAGAGACAACTCTGATAATAATAATATTGGCACTGTCCTTGAATTTGATTGGTCCACACCCGAGACGGCTTTTCTTAGAGCCCTTTAGTCTCCACTGGTGTTGGACCAGAAGACGCCAAAAGGCCAGTTAAAAGGGTAAAACCTATTACTATAAACTCTCATTCTGATTACCCATCCACCTCACCACCACTGCTCACCACTACTCACCACTACTTAATCAAACTTATTCTGATCAACCAAAACCTCCTCTCACTCCTCATCACCCTCCCCCTCACCACCCCCCTCACCCCACACACAGGAGAAAGCCCCTTACGACAAGGGAGCTTTCAAAATCGAGATCAGCTTCCCGCCCGAGTATCCCTTCAAGCCTCCGAAGATCAACTTCAGGACGAAGATTTATCACCCCAATGTCGACGAGAAGGGACAGGTCTGCCTACCCATCATCAGCGCGGAGAACTGGAAACCCGCCACCAAGACTGACCAGGGTGGGTGGTACAGGTGGTGGTGGCACAGCTGGTGGTAGTGGTGGTAGTGGTGGTGGTGGTAGTGGTGGTGGGAGTGGTGGTGGTACAGGTGGTGGTAGTGGTGGTGGTGGTATAGGTGGTGGTGGTGGTGGTGATACAGGTGGTGGTAGTGGTGGTGGTACAGGTGGTGGTGGTGGTGGTGATACAGGTGGTGGTAGTGGTAGTGGTGGTGGTACAGCTGGTGGTAGTGGTACAAGGGACAGGTCTGCCTACCCATCATCAGCGCGGAGAACTGGAAAACCGCCACCAAGACTGACCAGGGTGGGTGGCACAGCTGGTGGTAGTGGTGGTACAGGTGGTGGTAGTGGTGGTAGTACAGCTGGTGGTAGTGGTACAGCTGGTGGTAGTGGTGGTAGTGGTGGTGGTACAGCTGGTGATAGTGGTACAAGGGACAGGTCTGCCTACCCATCATCAGCGCGGAGAACTGGAATCCCGCCACCAAGACTGACCAGGGTGGGTGGTACAGGTGGTGGTACAGGTGGTACAGGTGGTGGTAGTGGTGGTACAGGTGGTGGTGGTAGTGGTGGTGGTACAGGTGGTGGTAGTGGTGGTAGTGGTGGTGGTGGTGGGAGTGGTAGTGGTGGTACAGGTGGTAGTGGTGGTAGTAGTGGTAGTGGTGGTGGGAGTGGTGGTGGTACAGCTGGTGGTAGTGGTGGTGGTAGTGGTGGTACAGCTGGTGGTGGTGGTACAGGTGGTGGTAGTGGTGGTAGTGGTGATGGGAGTGGTGGTGGTAGCGGTGGTGATAGTGGTGGTGGTGGTGGTAGTGGTGGTGGGAGTGGTGGTGGTAGCGGTGGTGATAGTGGTGGTAGTGGTGGTGGTACAGCTGGTGGTAGTGGTGGTAGTGGTAGTGGTGGTGGTACAGCTGGTGGTAGTGGTACAAGGGACAGGTCTGCCTACCCATCATCAGCGCGGAGAACTGGAAACCTGCCACCAAGACTGACCAGGGTGGGTGGCACAGGTGGTGGTGGTACAGGTGGTGGTAGTGGTGGTACAGGTGGTGGTGGTACAGCTGGTGGTGGTACAGGTGGTAGTAGTGGTGGTACAGGTGGTGGTGGTACAGGTGGTGGTAGTGGTGGTACAGGTGGTGGTAGTGGTGGTAGTGGTGGTGGTAGTGGTGGTACAGGTGGTAGTGGTGGTGGTAGTGGTGGTAGTGGTGGTGGTAGTGGTACAAGGGACAGGTCTGCCTACCCATCATCAGCGCGGAGAACTGGAAACCTGCCACCAAGACTGACCAGGGTGGGTGGCACAGGTGGTGGTGGTACAGCTGGTGGTAGTGGTGGTGGTACAGGTGGTGGTAGTGGTGGTACAGGTAGTGGTGGTACAGGTAGTGGTGGTAGTGGTGGTGGGAGTGGTGGTACAGGTAGTGGTGGTAGTGGTGGTAGTGGTGGTAGTGATGGTGGTGGTACAGGTAGTGGTAGTGGTGGTAGTGGTAGTGGTGGTAGTGGTGGTAGTGATGGTGGTGGGAGTGGTGGTACAGGTAGTGGTAGTGGTGGTAGTGGTGGTTCAGGTGGTAGTGGTGGTACAGGTGGTTAACCCCCTGTGACCCCCCTGTGACCCCCCCTGTGACCTTCCTGTGACCCCCCTGTGACCCCCCTGTGACCCCCCGTGACCTCCCCTATGACCCCAGTGATCCAGTCGCTGATTGACCTGGTGAACCATCCTGAACCCGAGCACCCCCTGTGACCCTCCGTGACCCCCCTGTGACCCCCCTGTGACCCCCTGTGACCCCCCTGTGACCCTCCCGTGACCCCAGTGATCCAGTCGCCGATTGACCTGTTGAACCATCCTGAAACCGAGCACCCCCTGTGACCCCCATGTGACCCCCCTGTGACCCCCTGTGACCCCCCTGTGACCCCCCGTGACCCCAGTGATCCAGTCGCTGATTGACCTGGTGAACCATCCTGAACCCGAGCACCCCCTGTGACCCCCCTGTGACCCCCCTGTGACCCCCCTGTGACCCCCCGTGACCCCAGTGATCCAGTCGCTGATTGACCTGGTGAACCATCCTGAACCCGAGCACCCCCTGTGACCCCCCCGGTGACCCGCTGTGAACCCCCGTGACCCCAGTGATCCAGTCGCTGATTGACCTGGTGAACCATCCTGAACCCGAGCACCCCCTGTGACCCCCCCGTGACCCCCGTGACCCCAGTGATCCAGTCGCTGATTGACCTGGTGAACCATCCTGAACCCGAGCACCCCCTGTGACCCCCCGTGACCCCCCTGTGACCCCTGTGACCCCAGTGATCTAGTCGCTGATTGACCTGGTGAACCATCCTGAACCCGAGCACCCCCTGTGACCCCCCTGTGACCCCCCTGTGACCCCCCTGTGACCCCCGTGACCCCAGTGATCCAGTCGCTGATCGACCTGGTGAACCATCCTGAACCCGAGCACCCCCTGTGACCCCCCGTGACCCCCCTGTGACCCCCCTGTGACCCCCCTGTGACCCCAGTGATCCAGTCGCTGATTGACCTGGTGAACCATCCTGAACCCGAGCACCCCCTGTGACCCCCTGTGACCCCCCTGTGACCCCCCTGTGACCCCCCTGTGACCCCCCTGTGACCCCCCCGTGACTCCAGTGATCCAGTCGCTGTTTGACCTGGTGAACCATCCTGAACCTGAGCACCCCCTGTGACCCCCCTGTGACCCCCCTGTGACCCCCGTGACCCCAGTGATCCAGTCGCTGATTGACCTGGTGAACCATCCTGAACCTGAGCACCCCCTGTGACCCCCTGTGACCCCCCTGTGACCCCCCCGTGACCCCAGTGATCCAGTCGCTGATTGACCTGGTGAACCATCCTGAACCTGAGCACCCCCTGTGACCCCCCTGTGACCCCCCTGTGACCCCCGTGACCTCAGTGATCCAGTCGCTGATTGACCTGGTGAACCATCCTGAACCTGAGCACCCCCTGTGACCCCCCTGTGACCCCCCTGTGACCCCCGTGACCCCAGTGATCCAGTCGCTGATTGACCTGGTGAACCATCCTGAACCTGAGCACCCCCTGTGACCCCCCTGTGACCCCAGTGATCCAGTCGCTGATTGACCTGGTGAACCATCCTGAACCCGAGCACCCCCTGTGACCCCCTGTGACCCCCCTGTGACCCCCCTGTGACCCCCCTGTGACCCCCCTGTGACCCCCCTGTGACCCCCTGCGACCCCAGTGATCCAGTCGCTGATTGACCTGGTGAACCATCCTGAACCCGAGCACCCCCTGTGACCCCCCTGTGACCCCCCTGTGACCCCCCCGTGACCCCAGTGATCCAGTCGCTGATTGACCTGGTGAACCATCCTGAACCTGAGCACCCCCTGTGACCCCCCTGTGACCCCCCTGTGACCCCCGTGACCCCAGTGATCCAGTCGCTGATTGACCTGGTGAACCATCCTGAACCCGAGCACCCCCTGTGACCCCCCTGTGACCCCAGTGATCCAGTCGCTGATTGACCTGGTGAACCATCCTGAACCTGAGCACCCCCTGTGACCCCCTGTGACCCCCCTGTGACCCCCCTGTGACCCCCCTGTGACCCCCCCTGTGACCCCCCTGTGACCCCCTGCGACCCCAGTGATCCAGTCGCTGATTGACCTGGTGAACCATCCTGAACCTGAGCACCCCCTGTGACCCCCCGTGACCCCCCTGTGACCCCCCCGTGACCCCAGTGATCCAGTCGCTGATTGACCTGGTGAACCATCCTGAACCTGAGCACCCCCTGTGACCCCCTGTGACCCCCCTGTGACCCCCCCGTGACCCCAGTGATCCAGTCGCTGATTGACCTGGTGAACCATCCTGAACCTGAGCACCCCCTGTGACCCCCCTGTGACCCCCCTGTGACCCCCGTGACCCCAGTGATCCAGTCGCTGATTGACCTGGTGAACCATCCTGAACCTGAGCACCCCCTGTGACCCCCCGTGACCCCCCCGTGACCCCCTGTGACCCCAGTGATCCAGTCGCTGATTGACCTGGTGAACCATCCTGAACCCGAGCACCCCCTGTGACCCCCCTGTGACCCCCGTGACCCCCCGTGACCCCAGTGATCCAGTCGCTGATTGACCTGGTGAACCATCCTGAACCCGAGCACCCCCTGTGACCCCCCTGTGACCCCCCTGTGACCCCAGTGATCCAGTCGCTGATTGACCTGGTGAACCATCCTGAACCCGAGCACCCCCTGTGACCCCCCTGTGACCCCCCTGTGACCCCCCTGTGACCCCCCTGTGACCCCCCTGTGACCCCCGTGACCCCAGTGATCCAGTCGCTGATTGACCTGGTGAACCATCCTGAACCTGAGCACCCCCTGCGACCCCCCTGTGACCCCCCTGTGACCCCCCGTGACCCCCTGTGACCCCAGTGATCCAGTCGCTGATTGACCTGGTGAACCATCCTGAACCTGAGCACCCCCTGTGACCCCCCTGTGACCCCCCTGTGACCCCAGTGATCCAGTCGCTGATTGACCTGGTGAACCATCCTGAACCCGAGCACCCCCTGTGACCCCCCTGTGACCCCCCTGTGACCCCCCTGTGACCCCCTGCGACCCCAGTGATCCAGTCGCTGATTGACCTGGTGAACCATCCTGAACCTGAGCACCCCCTGTGACCCCCCGTGACCCCCCTGTGACCCCCGTGACCCCAGTGATCCAGTCGCTGATTGACCTGGTGAACCATCCTGAACCTGAGCACCCCCTGTGACCCCCTGTGACCCCCCTGTGACCCCCGTGACCCCAGTGATCCAGTCGCTGATTGACCTGGTGAACCATCCTGAACCTGAGCACCCCCTGTGACCCCCCTGTGACCCCCCTGTGACCCCCGTGACCCCAGTGATCCAGTCGCTGATTGACCTGGTGAACCATCCTGAACCCGAGCACCCCCTGTGACCCCCCTGTGACCCCCCCGTGACCCCAGTGATCCAGTCGCTGATTGACCTGGTGAACCATCCTGAACCTGAGCACCCCCTGTGACCCCCCTGTGACCCCCCCGTGACCCCCCGTGACCCCAGTGATCCAGTCGCTGATTGACCTGGTGAACCATCCTGAACCTGAGCACCCCCTGTGACCCCCTGTGACCCCCCTGTGACCCCCCTGTGACCCCCGTGACCCCAGTGATCCAGTCGCTGATTGACCTGGTGAACCATCCTGAACCTGAGCACCCCCTGTGGCCCCCCTGTGACCCCCCTGTGACCCCCCTGTGACCCCCCTGTGACCCCCGTGACCCCAGTGATCCAGTCGCTGATTGACCTGGTGAACCATCCTGAACCTGAGCACCCCCTGTGGCCCCCCTGTGACCCCCCTGTGACCCCCCTGTGACCCCCCTGTGACCCCCGTGACCCC